AGCCCTTAAAAAAATCAATCTGGGAACATCAATGAAAATTATTATATAAGGTTAATAATTTTATATATTGTAACTTGTATAAATTATGTGTGTATGAGTATATTTTGATCACCAATCCATTCTTTATCATCTGTCCTTAAATACCTATACAAGATAATGATAATTATTGCAGCATTGTCCAAAGTGTCCAAACTTGGAATCCAAGTGAATGTCCACTCATCAGCAAATGGCTGAGTAAGTTATAGTGCATTTCCATTTCTAGGACTATTAGACAGCCATTAAAAAGAATGAACCAGAACTATATCAGTGGTAAATTTTCATTAGCTATTGATGAGTAAGAAAAGCAAGAGGAAGAAAAACATATACAGTATTCAGCTAAAACAATAATTTAAAAACCTATGTTTTGTTTGTTTGGGTCCTCCAGGAATCAGTCACCAGAATGGGATCCAACTAGCAAGAGGTTTATCGGGGAAAACTCCCATTAGTAAACAATGGGGAGTTTGCTAGAGGAGGCTGGGAGAGTCAGGCCGAGAACCACAGTGCTGTTCTAAGAAAGTTTCTGCAACTTGGATAGGGAGTCCTTGAGCACAAGTCCCAGGTTCTTGGAGTCCTGTGTCCTGGGAACAGGCCTGGCTTCCTGTTCCTGCCCTGCTCAGTCACTGGCTAGGGAGGCCTGGCCTCAGTGCAAACGCTACAGACAGAGGTCCAAGAATTGCATTCTGCTATGTAGTCACACATATGGGTGTGCTTGTATATGTGTGTGTGTGTCTACATATGGATATAAGTGCGTATTTGTATGTGTATATCTGTTTGTATACGTGTATATATATAGTCATAGAGACAAGTATATGGAAGGATATGCACTAGGTTGCTACCTGGGTAATGGGTTGGTGGGGGCTTTCTACACACACACACACACACACACACACACACACACACACGAAAAGAAGAAAAATTTGCACTAAAACCCCCTTAAATTCCAGACTTACATTCAACTGCCTATACATCTGAAAAAGCATCTCAATGGTAACGCAGCTGAAGAATGAATTTCCGGGTCTCCCCCAGTCCTGCGCTGACCCGGCTCCGCTCTTCCCACAGCTCTCCCCGCTCTGATTCCCACTGTCCATGCCCTGTTGTCTTCCTGCCGGAGCCCTTTAGGCCCTTTTTTTCACGCCAGGCGTTCTGGAATCTCACCACCACTTGTCTTGCCGTGGGTCTTTCCTCCTTTATTGTTCTAGCTACTCGACAGGCACTTAGCTGATGTCCTTTGGTCTGGGGCCATTTTCCTGTGATATTTTTACATATCATTTCCTCCTGCTCCTTCCCTCTGTGCTGGCTTTCCATGCGGAGGGCCTTCTGATTAACCTTCTGAGTTTTCACATCTTTTCTCCCCTGTCCTTTCTCTTTTTATTCTTCTCTCTGGATGATTTTTCTCAGCGCCCAATCTTTCCATTAAATCTTCTCTGTTTTTATTTTAGAATCACACGTTTCATTTCTAAGAGTTTTTTTTCTCCTCTGCCTTAAAAAAATACAATTCTGATCTAGTTTCATGGAAGCCATTTTCTCACCTCTCTGAAGATATTATTGACTTTTTTTGATGTTTTCTTTTACTCTATGCATTACCCGTTGTCTGCTTTTATTCTGTTTCTGTGTTGTGGTTTCTGTCTTTTGTGTTGGAGGTTTTCTCCAGGGATGGGTGACTCTGACATATCTGTTCATAATTCAGGAGGGGAGCTAAGAAAGTCTAACTGGAAACTCTGTGTGCTTAGGTAGAGCTGTGCTTCACTGGAGGGTGGTAGGAAGACCCAGGGCTTGGTTTGGGGGGTCTGTTTCTCTGAAGTCATCCAGTTTCTTCTGAGGATGGTATGGTCCCCTCGTCCACATGGGTAGGGCAGGCGTCACTGGGTGGCTGGCTGGCAGTGGTTGGGGTTGTGGGGGAAAGGGCTTGGTAGGTTTGCCCTTCACATGTCGACTCTCACTCAATCCCCGGTTTTCAGTGCTGAGTCGTCTGCCTCCCCACCCTGTTGTGAGTGTTGCTCCTATATCGAGCATCCCTTGGGTTTAACTTCTCGACAGTCCCCCCTGTATGACGGACATAAGATAGCCTGCTGCCCAGTCCGTGAGGGAGGTGGGGTGTAACTGCTCCTGCTTTCTACTCTAACACCGTCCACAGAACCTGTGTCCTGATTCCTGAGTCTCTTGGGTGTGACGGGCAGGCTTCTTGTGGGTAGCCACACTGGACTGGCACTTGGCATTCAGCTTGCCCATCTGCCACTTACTTTTCTTCTTTTCTTATGCATGATCACCTTTCATCTCTTAGTTTCTCCTCCCTCCCTCATCTGGCTAAGTGTCCTTGTCGGGTTATGTATGTATTTTTGTGTCATCATATATACGTGTTATAATTTATTAATTATATATTATGATATAATATATATTATAATTATATAATATATAATTTATATATATAATATACACGATATAATATATCTATCATTCTGCAATTTGCTTTCTTCACTCAACACTAGGTCATGGCATTATTCTGTACCAGCACATTCAGGTCTATCCACCTCCTGGACTTATTTAACTATCCCCCTGTCACGTTGACATGAGGCTTGTCCTGAATTTTCACCCTTGAAAATAGGGTTGCTGGGAGAACTTCCTGTGCATCCTCCGTGGCATTGACGTTTCGTGCACCCTGCTTTCCACCCTGACCCTCAGTCCACGGGGACCCTGCCACTCCCAACTGGATCCGATGCGCTCTCATGGGGTCTCTGCAGGGAGGGGTGCGAGGAGGAGTCTGGAGGCTGGCTCCCGCCCTTCTGGAAGGAAAGGTATGCAGGAGGATGCCGGCTAGAGAACCTGGCTTCCTAGACAATCGGCCCATCGGAGTGCCCGCCATTGAGTCACTATCATTATCTCCACTTTTGTAGGGAGGAGACCTTGCCACCGCGCCCGGGGCAGTGTGGTGAGTCAGAGAGGAGGCTCTGGTCCCACAGCCCCCACCCTCCAGTCCTGCTTCCCAGGCACCTGGCACAGAGATGCCATTAAGAGGGTGTTCAGGCTTTAAGAGGACCTGGTGGCCTGGGCTGAGGAGGTCTTCGGGGTATTGATTTATTTGTCAAATAAGTAAGATAGCCACAGACTCTTTAAATTCTTGGATTCAAATACAGTAAAATTGCCCCTCACGTTCCTGTTGCACAGCCAGGCAGCTCCTTTTATTAGAGGCAACTGGCACTAGTTTCTTGTGCATCAAGAGATATTTTAATGGAAAAAAAAAGAGGTGAATAAAGGTCCATACTTCCTTATCTGGAACCCCTTGGGGCAGGTGTTTTTGGGAATTCAGAAGTCAAGGAGTATACAAACCCCAACAGAGTCTGTAATAAAACAAGCTAATATTTCTGCACCAAGTAGGTTAAATAAAGCCATAATCAGCCTTAAGTGACTTCAGTTCAGTTCAGGTTTTGCTACTGAATGTGTTCGTGCCAAATTTATTTTTTTTAAAAACCACTTCTGTGTTTTTAGAGATTTTCATAGTTGAAAAGAGAATTGAAAATAGAGAATTTCCTAACTGTGGATAAGGCAATGTGGACTTGTGTTGATACTATTCCTTATTTAGAAACTTCTGGTAGTGTTCTCTACACACTGGATCAGTGCTAAAGAGCTTCTTTGCCATTATGTGGCATCCACATAGTATTGAATTATACATAATTATTTTAGCCTGTTTAGGGATATTTGGACTATTTCCAGTTTTCCCCAGTTGCATCAGTCCTGCAGTGAATAATGTGGTACACTCATTTAGCATATGTGCAAGTGTATCTGTAGGATACATTCCTAGCAGTGGCATTGCTGGGTCAATTAATAACAATGATAATTAACATTTGCATGGCATTTACTAAGAGCTGGGAACTGCGGTAAGTGCTTCACAATAATTAATGTATTTTAATCCTCAGAAGAATCTCCGGAGGTAGGTACTACTATCATCCCATGAGAAAAAGTGAGGCAGGGAGGAGTCAGGTGACCTGGACAGCTGGGATTGGGACCATGGTGCTTTGGCTCCAGTCTGTTCTCTGAACCATTACATTTTCCTGCCTTTTGAAGGCCATGGGAATTTGTAACTGAGAGGGCTGTCGCTAAGTGGTCTTCCATCCAGCTTTACCAAATTCACATTCCCACCTGTGAGTGTGCTTGTTTCCCCATGAAACTTTTTGATATTTGCCAATCTGATAGGTGAAAAATGGTATCTCTGTGTAGTCTTAACTTGAATTTCTTTTACAGTGAGTCAGGTTTAGCATCTCTTCACCTAAGGGCCATTTGTATTTCCTGTTCCATAATAAGCCATCCATTCATACCTTTTGCACATTTTTCTGTTTGGTTATATCTGTGACTTATGTTGAGCTTTTTCTATCTTAGGAAGATGAGTCTTGGTGATTCAAGTCATACAGATCTTCTCCCAGGTAGCAGTGAGTTTTGGGTAGAGTACTGCGAGGAGATAAATGAAGGGAAGGGCTTCAGTGTTGGGAAGTAGAGGGAGGGAAAAGACAGACAGGATCCTTGGAGAGAGGTGCCCTTTGTCCAGTGAGGCAGGAGGGAAGGAAGGTGATGGATGGAGAGAGTGAAGGGGACCCCTTATGGACATGGACATGGGGCTCACGCATACCAGGTGTGGCCCACTCAGACTGGAGGCTGGGAGAGGATGGGCTCCATGGCAGACAGGAAGATTTCTCTCCAAGCAAGGACTGCCCAGCTGCAAAGCCATGATTAACTGGCAGCTTTCAGCTGTGGGTTCCTGCAGGGTCCACTTAGCTTTCAGACCAAATTTATGCTCTTCTTGGGGTGGCCTTGGCCAATAACTGAGCAAGGTGGTGGTACAAGAGCCCAGCAGTTTCCACATTTCCACCCATCACTGGACTCCTCTAGCAGTCCCTGGTGGACTGGCAGAGATGTCAGGTCTCATGGCAGTCTGCAGGCTCCAACCCCATTTTTTCCCTCTTCTTTCACAGGGGTTACCTCCTCTGCCCCGTAAGTCAACTTGAACTCCTGACTTCCTCTCAGCACCAGCTTCCTGGAAAATGCAAGAAGCCCAGACTTCTAAAACCTTTTGGTAAAAATTGACATTAAGGAGCCATTTCTCTCTTTTAAATAGTCACTAAAATATATTTCATATTGTTTGAGTCTAGCTAAAGATTTGCTTGTTTGTTTTCTATATGGTGGTGACTATAAATGTCCTTGGCCTTGGACATAAGTAGAAATGTTGGCCTGAGAGTGAAGGCATCTGAGGGTGGTGCTGCCAATATCTGGGGGACTCCTGATCTCAGCTCAGAGGCTGGAGGAGCCAGTGGAGTGGACGGTTTGAGTCTGGGGGTGACTGGCCAGGTAGGCCGGGACCTCTGGAGGGGTCTCTTGGGTAAGGTATGTGGGAGCACCTCCAGTGCTGGCCCCAGGCCTGAGAACACACCTGAAGGCATGGGGCCCAGAAAGATCTTCCCTGGCAGCCACAGGGGGACTTGACTGTGCCAATATTTGCCCACAGCCTCTCTCTGGCCCAGTCACCTGCTGTCATGCCCTGACCGATGTCTACCCTTACGTGTCACCAGAGGGACCCCATCATACCACCTCCTGGTCTTACACTTTGGATGGTGAATCCTGGAGTCCACCCCCCCTAGCCTGTGATTCAAGGTCCATCCTACACTGGCTCTGATCCTCCTTTTCAGCCTCTTTTTATCTACTCCCAACCTTTATCCCCTTCCTTCCACACTCACAGGATCACTGGCCATTCTGAGAACCCAGTAAGCACTGTGCCCTCTGCTAGTGTCTGCCTGGACCACCCTTCCTATTTCTCTCTACTCCTCAAGGCCTAGATGGTATATGAGCTCCTCAGATGTGATGTATTGGGCAGGGAGGGCGGGAGGTAGAGAGGAAATTAAAAGTGTGGGCTCAGTTCTTCAAGTTTCCTTAAGGAACTGCAATAAATATTTCAAGGGCTCTTCATCAGAAAGCACCCCGTCCCTGCCCAGCACCCTGTGGAAATGCCATGGCCTTGAAGAAGTTCGGTGCAGAGACTGGGCCGTGTGAGGGCGGGTCTATATCGTTACATGTACATTCCTGGAAGACAGCCTAACAGGCATTTTTTTGGCCTTTCTTTCTGCAGCCATTCCCATCCCCTGCTGCCCACCATACTCATCTCCGTGACCACAGTCATTGATCAACATTAAAACCGCTAATTTGTATCAGACATTCTTTCAACTCTTTCACCAAGATTGCCTGAAATGTTGAAATACAATAAAATGTAAATGAGCCCCAAAATACTTATGAAGCAACTCCTACAGGCAGTGAGTGGTGGTAGGTGATAGGTCGGTGGGTTACAAGGAAGCATAACCTGCCACAGAGTACCTGCCCCCCAAGGGCACCGGTTACCGCATTCATACACAAGGCAACTGGTCAACCGATGGCTATGCATGGGACGCAACAGAGGTCCTAGGGGACAGGGGACCTCAGGACCTCAGAGGACGTGCTCACTGCAGCTGCCGCAGCCAGGAAGGGCTTGCCTCAGGACGGGGCGGGGGGAGGGGCGGGGATTGGGGTGGGTTTTGAAGAATGGCAGCAATTTGAGAGACTAGAGAGCAAGGAGGGCCTCTAGGGAGAAGGTGGCTCCATGAATCACTGAGGAGGAGCCCTGTTTATTTTGTTTGATGAGCCTGGGACGCATGAGCTATCTCTTTAAAGCACAGGTTCTCGACCGTGGCTGAATATTTTAGTTACCCGGAAGCTCTAAAAAAAACACTGATCCCTGAGTCCTACCTCCAAAAGGTTTGATTGACTTGGTCTGGAACACAGCCTCGGCACTGGGGGTTTCAGAAGGTCAGCTGGCGACGTGTGACGAGCGGCCAGGGCTGACAGTCTCTGCCCCACTGGACGGGCGGGCAGCGTGAGGCTCCCCGCCCGGCAGCCCTCGGGCACACACACCTGTTGGGCCCTGACACTTCTGAGGCATGCCTTTCATTCTCTCCTCCTGGACAGTGGCCACCCCAGGGACGGGCCCCCGGCCCTCTCTTCAATCCCACCCACACACCTGGCATCAGCCTCCCAGGAGGATTTCCCCGCCAGTCTCCCATCAAGCAGTCACAGGGTGCTCAACCAGGGCACACGCTGCTTGGCCTTCCCTCTGCCATCAACGCCGCCCTTCCGGTGCTTTCCCAACGCTCTGAAGGAAGCAGTGAAAGTCGTGGCTGTTCAAAGGGCCCATAAAGCAGGACAGCGCGATTCGCAGGGGGCCTGGGGCCGAGCTTCCTGAGGACACATCTACACCTCCCCGCTGAGCAGGGACCTGGTGCCGGAAGGCGAATTTCTCTCCCTGCGTTTCCGGGCAGTGAGCGGCGCCTGAATCAAGTCCGGCTAGCCTGTGAGGCTATCTCCGTTGAGTGGTCTCAGACATGCTGTTCCTCATCTCAGAGAATTCTATAGGTGTGGCTGTTGGCCTCCGGCCAGCGTGCCCCGTGAAGAACGCGCACCAGCCACAGGTTGACCAAGGAGGCTACTACCCCCACTTCCTTTCAGCAGCTTGGCAGGGTATCCAAACGGCTGCAGGAAAGGGTAGATCAGGGTGACATGATTTCCTGACGAGAAAGATCGCGGCACTTTGGGGCTTACAATCAAGGCAACAGATGAAATGCCCTGACTCTGGGGCCTTTTTATTTATTTATTAAAAAAAAAAACTTTATTGATTTTGTTTTAAAAGGATACGTGTTCTTTTATTAAAAGGAAAAAAAAAAAAATCAACATACTCGGAAAAAAATAGAAATCCCGATGGCTCAAGAAAGCAACTGTCACTAACACTTTGTAAGCATCTCCAAAGGCTAATTCTGCAGGCACTGGGTGTGCTGCCCTGGGCAGGGGTATGGAGAACATGACCTCTGGAAGCACTCTCTGTCCTGGGCTTGCATAAGTAATGCAATGACTCTCCTCCAAATAGCCCCCCTAGAGACTTCCCACCACCCTGCCTTCTTGGAAAGAATGTCCAGCGTGTCCCGCACCAGAAGCAGTCCAAGGAGAGAAGATGCCGAGGTGGTGGCTCATCTTCCTGGGTCGGGAGAGGCCTCTGAGGAGTCCTCTCTGTTGCCTCACAGCCCTCCAACTATGCCAAGAATTCGAACCATTTCCCCTGGGAATGGCAACCAAGAAGCAATTCTGAGCCCAACCTCCCCAAATATCTGCTTTGCAAACAGATAAAACAGAGAAGCATCCTGAAAATGTGATCTTCAGCCATTCACCTTAGGCGGTTGTGCATGCCTGCTCGCAGGAGTGTTTCTGCTTCTGGAGTCTCTCTTAGAACGGCTGGGAAGCCAACTTTGGCATGTGGCTGTGTTCCCAGAAGGGCAGAGAGCTGAGAACTCTCTAGAAGGGACCTCTCAAGGGAACGGGGACCAAGCAATGCCCCAGGCCCTTAGCAGGGATCTGGCTCTTATCTCAGTGCTAGGATCATTGCTGACCATTCTGGGGTCGTGGGGGTGCCTTTTGGCTCCTGAGATGCCTGGGCACGGGGCTGCCTTCACCAGTAGCAAGAGCTCACCCCAACCAGCCTTTGCCCTCCCCCACAAGTCCACACTTCCTCTGGTTTTGTCACCTGAGTGGATGGGGGGGCAGTGGCAGGGGCAAGGCCACGTCAGGCTTGGCAGAGTGTCAGGTGTGGGCAGAGGACACAACTTTCTGAGTAGATCTCACCTTCCGAGAGACACTAGAATGCTTGGCTGCACCACTGCAGGTATGATCAGGCTCCAGTGACCTACATAAGCTTCCAGACATAGGGCAGGTGGGAGCCCTGACTCATCCCAGGGGAGCCTGACTTGGGAAAGGTGGGGGAGGGGAGGATTTATAATCCTGAGACGTTGAAACCACCTAAATGTTCAGTGATGGCTCAGTGAATCATGATATGTGCACAGGGCGGAATATTATGTAAAAGTGATTATTGTAAAGACTATTTAGCAATATTACAAATGTTTATGAACAAAAGAAGATATGCACATTTTTTTTTTTACCCATGAACAAGAAAAGACTGAATGGGGATTTTGGGAAAAATAACAGTTGCTATGCTACAGTGGTGTAATTCTGGACCTTATGCTTTTAAAAGAAAGTGGTGGCTTTAAAGTCAGACAGAGCTGGACTAGTAGCTTAGTTGTATTTCCTACTAGAAATGAGCTTGGAGAGTAGCTTAATGTCTCTGAGCTTTGTTTCTCATCTGTAAAGTGGGTACAATGATTCCTGCCTTACAAGATTCTTGGAAGGATAAATCAGATGATGCCTTTCTTCTTGCCTTCCTATCTTCCTCCTCTCTCTCCCTCCCCCTGCATATTTTTCACTAATACAGCGCAAAGCAGTTGCCCACAAAGGATTCCACAACTGAGTCATCCTTGGGTCTGCTTAAATCTCTCTCACTCACAGGGAAGCCCGTTTGCCTGTTTGTGCTCCAAGCTGAGCTGGAGCCCGTATGAGTGAATGACGGACCATAGTCCATGGGCTGTCAGGGGCAGGGAAGCTTGTCTGGTCTTCGTTTTCAGAGCAGCAACAGGGTGTGCACTCTCCAGCCCCCAAGCAATGTCGCAAAGCCTCTAAAGGTTGAAGCAGGGGTTTGGGAAGCTGACCTGGCTGAGAGCACATGGAGCAGACCCTTCTCCCATTCCTTCTGCCATGGCCTAGCCTCAGGTCCTCTTCCCTCTAGCAGGATCAGCAGCAGGATTGATGGCTCCCAAAGCCTGAGGCAGGTGCCCCTGGTGGGCAAAGAGGTGATTTCCAGTGGCAAGTGGACATACATTTTTCATTTTAAGAGAGTAGGATTTACATATATGTTAGGAAAAAAATGAAGCAGTCGTTATAATGGTACAACAGAAGAGACATAATAAAGAGTTAAAGAATGAGCTAACATAAAGGGAAATATTACATAAATAATAGTTGGGATTGGGAATGACTGAAGCTTGGGGGTCGCTGCCCTACTCTCTTGCATCTGTCTTCCAGCTCTGACCCAGCCTCTGTCTTTTCCAGTGTCTGCCCCCTGACCCTGCCTACTACAGCCAGAGTTTCCTAAAAGGAAACCCTGCACTATAGGGCAGCGCCTCTAGGGAAAAGTCTAGACTTCTCCTTGGCGAGGTCTCCAAGGCCTTCTAGGATGGGACTCTGCTGGTCTTGAGAGCTTCCCTGTCACCCTCGTCCTCTTCCCCTTTTAGATTCCCACACCCTGGACTTCCAAGGAGTCTTGGGATGTACCGTCTCCTCTACTTGTGATGTCCTTTCCCCTTCGTCTGTCTAAAGGACTCCTATTCAACCTTCAAAACCTTGGCAAGGGTCTCTTTCCTCTGTGATATCGATCTCCTTGCAAAGGGTTACTCCTGCCTTTCCTTCAGTCTCGAACACCATTTTATCCCGTGTAGCCCAAAGCTTCTGTTTTCTCGACTATCTCTTCGATGAGGTGGTCTCTGAAGGCCTGGAACCTTCTACAGTAGTGGGTGTATGACAGGTGCTCAATGCTTATGAAACTACAGGAGTTAGAGCTACTGCTTGTGATCTGTTCTTTGCACATTATCTCACTTAATCCTCACAGTCCGCCTGAGAGAAAGAAACCAGTGACACACCCATCTTAGACATGAGGAAGCTAGGGGCCAGAGACATAACTCATTTGCTGCAGAGCTGATAAGTGGAGGAGTTGGGATTCAAACACGGGCTGCCTGACTTGAGTGCTGGGCCCTTAGCAAATCACTACCCACTCTCCTGTAGGTCAGAGCTGCTGCCTCAGTGGGGCAAAGTGGGTGCTTGGGTTAGGGGATGCCTTCTGGCCACCACGTATGGCAGCAACCTCAGACAGAGGCAAAGTGCAGGCTCCTGGGGCTGCTCTTTCAAGGTCATGAGGGTAGAGGTGGGAAAGCAAGAGGAAGGAGAAAATAGAGTTGAGTCAGAGCCTTGTGGAATTTCTGGCCTTTTTTGAATTCTGGGAAGAGAAAAAAAAATGGCCGTACTTATTCCAACTATGTCAAGATAATAAGGGGCCCTTTACTGTTTACATGCAAAAATCTCTGGCAGCCGACACCTGCAAGCAAGAGGCCAGGAATCTGTGAGACCCAGATGCCCTGAGCGGAGGCCCCAGGCTCCAGAGGGAGGCAGCTGGCCAAGATGGGGAGAAGCAAGAAGGGAAGGGGCTGACAGGACTGTCCTCATAGCCCCAGCATTTCCTGCAGGAAGAATCTGCCTGTCCCTGGAATGTGGGTGGACCCTTTGTGTAAGGAAAGGGAAGTGAATGGCTGCCTCTCTCCAAGCCTCCGCT